ATAGCATTATACTGATATTTTATCATGATCACATAACACCACACCACCACACTCATTTGATATCACTCCTACACATCACAACACCTACACACCATTATGCCCCATTCACACGTCACCTTCTTTAAATAACTGCGCCTACACATAACCGTAACCATAGACCATCAAGACTATCCACCATCAAATCCCACATCACCATATATCAGCCACCCACACACACCCACACACACCCACACACACGCACTCACTAAGACATCTACACACGACCAACACCCAACCATCATCACAATCTCACACCACCATACCCAAACACCATGACGTCCACATGCCAAAACACCACTCATACACCACAACACCCCCAGAGCACTACACCGCAGTCATACACCACCACCATACCCATACACCATTACACCCATGCACAAACAACTCGTATACTAACATACTCATACACCAGCATATTCCCAAATCATTATGCCCACACACACACACAGTGGTGCGGTAAGTAAAATCTCATGATCCACCTGAATAACGTTGGAGCTACTGACCCTCACACTCTTCAGGGGAGAAGTTTTGATAGTTATAAAAAACACCATTCAAGAATTTGTTGCCTTATTTCTGATGAGAAGAATATATAGCTTAGTATTTTAGCTCATATCTGGATGAGTGTAATCTAGGTGTGTCATATATTATATTCGTGAGAAGTTATTTTTTTCAGAAAGACACATCAAAGATCAAATAAGCAAAACCACGAAGAAACTTGTGATAATAATAATTGTCCTTGATGTAAGTGGAATACCAAGAACACACAAGAAGGTTTAAGAAGTTTGCTCTAAATGTGTAATTGTGTAAAAGTTGTGGTAAATCATCTCTCTCAATATTAGGGTTAAGCACAAAAACTCCTTTCTTAATCAAAATAACTTTATTAGTTTCAATGATCCAATTTACACCAACTATTATAAATCTTATTCAGATATCTCAAGGTACAATAATATACGTTTTGTACATGCTTATGATCCCATATATTATTATTATCAATTAATTAGATATCCATCAGAATCAATGTAGACTATAATGTCAATATCTAGACAATACAGATTCTTAATATATAACAATAAATGATGCCTGAACGAATTAGACATATTTTATGCATAAAGTAAACATTAATACATCAATTACAGTTTCTTTAATTAACACAATGAATATCTACTTGATAAGTTTTATATCCAATAAAATGATTGTTTAAAGCAAATATTAGAATATCAAGATACAAAATTTCTTCAGGTATCACAATGAAAATATAATTGTCTGAAATAACAATTCCAATGATTTTGCCGATACATATCAAGAACAACAGATATTGTCAAACCTCTTGTGGGATGTTCACATAAAATTAAATATATCAACATAAATCAAACTTGCTAAGAGTCTCTGATTATATGTTAGAAGAGTAAACATATCTGGTCATAATCTATGTAAACAAATTTACAAACTTTGGAGTTATTTAGCGAACACTTATACATATTCATTTATTTTTTTCTGGTGTAATTTGTTTTTGTGTGTTAGTGATAAGATCTTCATTTTGATGTTCGATTTTTAATTGGGAATGAAAATAGCTCTAAAAGGTCACAGTTGTCTGCACACTGGCACTATGACAGCTTACAGTGGGCTAAAGACTCACACTGGGTGTTAGAAACAGGATATATTAAAACACAGAGGTTATAATGACAAAAAAAATGAATTAGATGAATATTCTGAATACACAAGTGTTCATATAGCAATCCACAGCTGTGCACTAATGTACTATTGGATGTATAATTCTCGTTTTTAAATTAAAAAACAAACAATATTACCTCACACAAGTTACACATCACCACATATATATACATACATACATATAATCTCTGGAAGGTTGAGTATTTGAAGCCTTCAGATTCATTATAAGGGACTCACGGCTTGATTGATTGATCTCAAGGCTAACATGATCGTCCCGTCTTAATTTACTGTATACGGTATATTATTTTTATTGAACATTAGATATCATTACTATTATTAAACCATAATTTTGTTACTTTTTTTCTCAACATTTTATATACCCTGAATGCAGGTAACATTACAGGTAACAGTAATGGCAAATAACGCATTTTTTTATTAGCAACAATATCTAATGAATAATACACTCTCAAATATTAATAAGAAATATATACAATACACTACAACTGAATGTCATTGTCATATTACAGTTTCTGTCAAGATATATAATGTAATTTTTATAACTTTATGGTAATAGTTAGGATCAAGACATTAAATAACAACATAGTTCATTATTAACACAATTATATTCTACTTGGACTACGATGGTGTACAAGTATTTTCAAAACAGTGAGTTAACAATAAAATATTCAATTAAAATATATACAAATAAGATAAAAGGCTACATAAAAAATCAATTACTCAAACTACTATGTCGTCCTGATACTGATTCCTTCAGGAATTTTGGAGAGAGAAAAGGATAATGATGATGATGATGATGATGGTCTTAGGAATAGATTGCAGATGTTGATAATTGTGTTGTTAATGTTATAATAAAAATTATTAAGCTATAAACTTAATAATCTAACCGGGTGGATTATTGAAGACAGAATAATCTGATACTTGTCTGAATACTCTTACAGGTATATACACTAAGGAGGAAACCGATATCTATAACTGTTTGGGTTCTTTCAAGTGGAAATATATAATATCGATGGTATAATTTACAAGCTGGTATGAGAATAAACCTTATATCTTGATCTGTTTTAGTTTGAGGAGAAGAAATGAGTGAGGTACAATTTAATTATTACACCCACAATATGGTGCAGAGAGCTGTTCATTTAGTAACCTTGGTGACAGTGTGAAAAAGAATAAAGATTTACTCATTAACTTTCTTAAGAGCATTGAACTCGGCCGCTTAATAAAATTTTAAAGTATTTTTTTTAGGGGAAATCGCATAAAATTTTATCCCAAATTATTTCACAAGAAGATTAAACAACCTAACTTTAATCTAACTGAACCTAACCTAACCTAACCAAATCTCACCTAAACTAGCCTAATATAGCCTAACCTAACCTAACTTAACCTCGTTCCCCCAAATAGTGTTAGGGTGGTTAATCTTCAGGTGAAATAAGCAGGCAGGAGGGAGGAATCTTCAGATCCTTTTAAATACCAAATATGCAAATTCGAATGAAGATTGTGTTAAACATTATTTTTTTCTTCTCATTAACTTATGTTAGGTAATGTTTATTATAAGGCAAGAGACGTGTAGTGTAATAGAGGAAAAAAACAAAGGATCGGAATATACCCAGTAAATAACAAGAAAACCATTAACCCCTTGAGTACGATGTCATTGTACTCGGTTGATTATAATATCGCACTCTAGTCATTGTACTTGAAGGGCTTATGTCATCGTACACAAGGGGTTTCAGAGGTCAATAGAGAAAGTGAGCGATAGAAGAAAAACGATTCAAACGATTTAAATATATGTGGTAAAACGAACTGATAACAGAATAAATGTATGTCTATTGAAGGAAGTATTTAATGAATAGTATTTATTTATTAAGATGAGAGTTGTCAAGTATAATAGTAGTGAGAAGAGACCATGACAGGAGGACAGGCAGATGGTGTCATGATTCATGGCTAGGGGTGGGAGAGTCAGCTGGTGTTATGTTGTGGTCAGCGCTGTTACATCTGTACCTGTATGAAGCAGGGATCTAAGAAGCGTTTGTTGGAAAGGAGGCTTAAAGTAGGGAGGTCTAGTGAAGCTAAACACACAAATGAGAGAGAGAGAGAGAGAGAGAGAGAGATGTTTTGGAATTATTAAAAGAAGAAGCCATTTAGTTTTTAACAGCTCCAAATCTGGAATTGTGGATATTAAGAAATCCTGATTAACACGCTAGATGTGAAAACAATAAGTAAGGGAGATGATCGCAGGTAAAAGTATCGTCGGCGGGTATGGGATAATCGAGTTCTATGTCAATAAAACAAATAATAATCATATGGGTATAAGATAAATCGGATCACCTAAAGATTTGTCCCTATCTTTATTCCACCTTAAGAGTAACCACCATAACGCTAACCTAACTCAGCCTAAACCAAACATAACATACCTTACCTTAACCTAATCTAACCTAACTCAGGGTGTGTTACATATGGTAGGTCTTCCACGAGGGTTATATTGGTGTACTCCTCTGCCTCGTGACCTGTACTGTGCCCTGATAAGTTGACGTGCAAGTGGGAAAAGATTCCGGTGGTCTGTGTGTTTGTGTTGTCAAGTAAAGGGAGTACTTGCTGTAGGTGATGCACCATCTCCAGCAGGAAGACAGGGAGTTCAGGCTGGTGTTGGGCTTGTTGTTGCTGCTCCTCTATAAGTGTCGTCTCCGGCGGAACTTGGGAGAGTGCAGCATCCAGGATAACAGCTGTGAACAGCTTCAGGGCAGCTGTGAATATTGCTGTTGTGAGCATTGTTGTTGAGAACAACTTCTGGGTAGCTGTGAGAATTGCTGTTGTGAGGAGCCCCAGGACAACTTTGAGCATAGTTGTTGTGAGCAGCCCCAGGGCAGCTGTGAGCATTGTTGTTGTGAGCAGCCAAAGGACAACTGTGAGCATTGTTGTTGTGAGCAGCCCCAGGATAGTTGTGAGCATTGCTATTGTGAGCAGTCGCAGGGCAGCTGTGAGTATTGCTGTTGTGAACAGCCCCAGCATAGCTGTGAGTATTGCTGTTGTGAACAGCCCCAGCATAGCTGTGAGTATTGCTTATGTGAGCATTGCTGTTGTGAGCAGCCTCAGTGTAGCTGTGAGTTTTACTGTTGTGAGCAGCCGCAGGGCAGCTATTAACATTGCTGTTATGAGCAGCCACAGGGCAGCTGTGAGCAACCTCAGGGCAACTATGAGTATTACTGTTATGAGCAGCCCCAGGTTAGCTGTGAGTAATACTGTTGTGAGCAGCCCCAGGGTACCAGTGAGTAATACTATTGTGAGGAGCCCCAGGTAGCTGTGAGTAATACTGTTGTGAGCAGCCCCAGGGTAACTGTGAGTAATATTGTTGTGAACAGCCTTAGGGTAGCTATGAGTATTGCTTTTGTGAGCATTGCTGTTGTGAGCACCCTCAGGGTAGCTGTGAGTATTGCTTTTGTGAGCATTGCTGTTGTGAGCAGCCCCAGGGTAGCTGTGAGTAATACTGTTGTGAGCAGCCCCAGGGTAGCTGTGAGCATTGCTGTTGTGAGCAGCACCAGGGTAGCTGTGAGAATTGCTGTTGTGAGAAGTCGAGGGGCAGCTATTAGCATTGCTGTTATGAACAGCCACAGGGCAGCTGTGAGCCACCTCAGGGCAGCTGTGAGCAGCCTCAGGGCAGCTGTGGACATTGCTGTTGTGAGCAGCCGCAGGGCAGCTGTGAGCATTGCTGTTGTGAGCAGCCTCAGGGCAGCTGTGAACATTGCTGTTGTGAGCAGCCGCAGGGTAGCTGTGAGCAGCCCCTGGGCAGCTGTGAGTATAGCTGTTGTGAGCAGCCTCGGGGTAGCTGTAAGTATTGCTTTGTGAGCAGCCTCAGGATAGCTGTGAGCATAGCTGTTGTGAGCAGCCCCGGGGCAGCTGTGAGCATTGCTGTTGTATGTAGCCTCAGGGCACCTGTGGGTATTACTGTTGTGAGCAGCCGCAGGGCAGCTGTGAACATTGCTGTTGTGAGCAGCCCCAGGGCAGCTGTGAGCATTGCTGTTGTAAGCAGCCCCAGGGCAGCTGTGAGCATTGCTGTTGTGAGCAGCCTCAAGGCAGCTGTGAGCATTGCTGTTGTGAGCAACCTCAGGGTAGCTGTGAGCATTGCTGTTGTGAGCAGCCCCTGGGCAGCTGTGAGTATAGCTTTTGTGAGCAGCCTCGGGATAGCTGTAAGTATTGCTGCTGTGAGCAGCCCCGGGGCAGCTGTGAGCATTGCTGTTTTGAGTAGCCTCAGGGCACCTGTGGGTATTACTGTTGTGACCAGCCGCAGGGCAGCTGTGAACATTAAGAACATAAGAATGGAGGAAACTGCAGCGGGCCTATTGGCCCATACTGGGCAGTCCCGTTTACACCCAACCCCTATTGCTCATATGAGCATCCAACCTATGTTTGAAGCAATTCAGCGTATTCGAGTTAATGATGATATTTGGTAACTTGCTCCATTCATCCACTACTCTGTTTCCAAACCAGTGTTTACCTATTTCACGCCTAAATCTAAATTTGTCTAACCTAAAACCACCGTTACGAGCTCGCTCCTGGTTGGATAGTTTGAGTACCTTTGTAATGTCCCCTTTGTTTAGCCCTGCCTTCCACTTATACACCTCTATCAGGTCGCCCCTCGCTCTACGTCTCTCAAGGGAGTGCAAATTAAGATGCTTTAACCTGTCTCTATACTCAAGGTTCCCAATGCCCGGGATTAGTCTTGTCATTCTCCTCTGAATTCTTTCCAAGGATCTATATAATTGCTGTTGTGAGCAGCCTCAGGGCAGCTGTGAGCATTGCTGTTGTGAGCAGCCTCTGGGCAGCTGTGAGTATAGCTGTTGTGAGCGGCCTCGGGGCATCTGTAAGTATTGCTGTTGTGAGCAGCTGTGAGTATTGCTGTTGTGAGCAGCCCCAGGGCAGCTGTGGGCATTACTGTTGTGAGCAGCCTCAGGGCAGATGTCAGTATTACTGTTATGAACATCCCCAGGACAGCTTTGAGCATTGCTGTTTTGAGCAGCCCTAGGTCAGCTGTGAACATTGCTGTGTGAGGAGCCCCATGTCATCTGTGAACATTGCTGTTGTGAGCAACCACAGGGCAGCTGTGAGCATTGCTATATATATATATATATATATATATATATATATATATATATATATATATATATATATATATATATATATATATGTATGTGTGTGTGTGTGTGTGTTTTGTAATAATTTTTGCTTAATGCAGGGTGGGTGGAAGGTGGTAATCTTTTAAGTTGATAGAATTCGGCGCATCCGATAATGTACACACACTGTATATTGATTAGTGTTCAAGGGGTAGTGTACAAGGAGTCATTCCAGTAATATACTTCTCTCGATAATCTACCCCAGGAACATTATCTCTACCGAGTGTGGGAAACAGCGGAAGACTAAGCAAAGAGGCAGATTTAAGGGGTTGAAAAGCACACACTCAAACCACAAGTGTAATCAAAATATTTATTGGTGTAGCTGACAACAGAGTTTATAGGGAAACAATATACATACTATAAAATGTATTTTTCAACTGAAGTACTTAAATGAAAAATAAACACAAATTAATGTTATGAAAGAATTACATATGGATCTGAGAGTATCTCCGAGATAACAACACTTTTAGTTGGGTCTGGAGTAAAAACTTTCTAACTTACTTCAATCTATTTCATTATATGCTGCAGCTAATGCAGAATATTATATATATATATATATATATATATATATATATATATATCGATAAAATCACACGGAAAATGGAAACAACGGAGCACCTTATCCATATATATATATATATATATATATATATATATATTAGAATGTAAAAAAGGGATAAGTGAGAGAGGTGGGAGTATGTATCACTGGTGAAATAGGATAAAAGAGAGTGAGTGAGGGTATGGAGGGGAGAGAGGGAGAGCATAGTACAGTCGTGAAGTGTTGTGGGATGATAAATAGGAAGAGAGAGAGAGAGAGAGAGAGAGAGAGAGAGAGAGAGAGAGAGAGATAACTAAATTGATAAATGGACTGACGGACTGCCAGTGAAATAAAAATGAAAGATAGACAAACAGAAAAAAGACAGGCAAGTTTATATAAATAAATGCACTCACAAAAATACAGGTAAATAGATAGACGTATACAAAGAGAGAGAGAGAGAGAGAGAGAGAGAGAGAGAGAGAGAGAGAGAGCGTAGTTATTGGCTGAAATTTATATAAGAATAAAAAAATTTTTACATTAGATTATAAAATACTTTTAGTACACAAATATAAAAATACTTAGCAGGTGGCTCCGGTTCACCAATTTATGTATCAGGTTCATAAGGATGTTCAACACAATATGTATTGCTGATATAGTGCTAATTAATATTATTGTATGAATTTCTAGTAGGAATTATATATATATATATATATATATATATATATATATATATATATATATATATATATATATATATATATACTTATATATATATATATATATATATATATATATATATATATATATATATATATATATAATAAATAAATATATATATATATATATATATATATATATATATATATATATATATATATATATATATATATATATATAGTATTGCATTTGCATGGCACTGTACAGTTGAGGGATAATCTGCCGATTAAGCCTTAATTTGCAGCGGATTTTATGGCGAATAACAGAAACGTTCTTATATTCTTTTTCTCTTGCCATAATATCACAGAAAAATAAACATTGATGACAACACAAACTTCCATACAAACATTTCAGTATTTATTGACTGTGCTTAGCTGATCTTGCAAAAGTGGTTTACGGTGAGTTAGCGAGTTCAGTGAAGATAGTGTTTCTTATGGTTAATTAATTACACATAGTAACAAACCGTCTCTCATCTTGTATTTTAGTAAGACATTTTAGAGTACATTTTAGTTGTTTAGCACACAAACGTACACACACACTCACGCATACAAACGCGCACAGAAACACACACACACGCACACACACACCTCATGAACCATACACACAATTTCCATATATATACTATATTCAGGGATATACTCGTATGTGTTCTTCAGAGACTAATTATTTTAAAACGGTTATTCTCAATAGTAACTGTAAATATTGACTAAATCAACAGATATTTTCACACTGTCAAATTCACTCCAAAGATTATTAATTCAGTCAGGGTGAAAATAACAAAATCAAACTCAACTCTGCGCTACTGATGAAAAGCAATTTTGACCTTAAAAGTTAGATTAGATTAGGTTAGGTTGTTAGGTTTGATTTGGTTAGGATTAAGTTGTAATAGATTAGCTTTGGTTAAATTAGGTTTGTTTGGTTAGTCTCTTAAGTTAGGTTAAATTATGTTATGTTTGATATGAATTGGTTCAGTTTAGGTTGGGTTAATTTAGGTTAGGTTAGTTAGGTTAGGATAAGTTAGGTTAGGTTAAGTTTGGTTTGGTTTATTTCATCTGTAAGGCCAAATCTTTTGAAAAAAGTACCAGTATATTAATTGTTTTTACGTGAATGAAATAATTACATTGTATTTTGAAATGAGTTATCAGTTCCTACTCATTATTCTTCTACGAATACATAAAATAATTAAAAAATGCGAGAAAAATTATTGATAAAGAAAGCTAAACCCCCAAAAAACGATACAATCTGCGTTGTTATTAAATTCGATTATTAAAATATCGGCGTATGAATATCTTCCCAATAACAGGAAATTTTCTTTAGGGTAAATCTTATAAACTCGATTAAATATAATCTCACCTAAGCCTTAATATTCCTACGCCAAGGAACAATGCCTGCAATAGTTTATCTTTAGAATAAAAAGGACAGAATATGATTAAATAAAATATCTAAATACCTGTACACTAATACTGACAGCGTTCTCCATGATGATAATATCTCGAGAAATATTATGTAATCAGATGAAAAATATATTACGAAATACTTGTGCGTAAAAATAAGCTGAAAAAAATAATAGATTGCTTTTCTTTCTTTGCAATTTATATTAAGAATTTCAAATAAAAGACGCATGATCGGGTGAACAGCAGGAGGACCCACACCCCTCCTGTCTTTATCATAAACAAAATCAATTAATATTAAAGATAAAACGATAAGACATAAATTCACACTAACGAATCACTTGTAATATCTACATAGATTTTGTAGTAATAGAAGAATTTTTTACCGATTACTGAACACGAAGAATCGGTAGAAAAACAAATTCTTCAAGTTTTAATTCTAGATTTATTTTTTATGCTTGAATCCAGGACTCAGTAGTTTACACATCCAATGATTAACATATTTTTCTTTCAATTCATTTGAAAACTCTAAAATTAACGCTAGAATTATTTTCAAAGGACTTTTAAACTTAATAGTTATTATTTCTCCTTTAAACAAATAATTTTCAAAAGACTCCTCGCATCCACACCTAAACATTAATATTTTTATGAACAGGAATATCATAAGGCAAAAGTTTTATTTTCTTATAGTTTTCGGAGTATATCAGAATATTTCTTAGCACTTCCCTATTTTGTAAGATAAACTTCATAAAAAGTGCTGAAACTGTTGCCATCTGTTTTAGAGGTTTTACCTATTTTGTGTATCCATTAACGTGATTTTCTATATAATTGCTGTTATTTTTATCATTTGGAACATCCTTACATCCTTATTATTGCTACTACTACTACTACTACGAATAATAATAATAATAATAATAATAGTAATGATAATCTTATTATTAATATCATTATTATTTTTATTTTATATATCCAATCGTCTATTATCGAGGAGGTGTCGTGTCTGGAAGGGTGTTGCTGCCCTTCGTTGCTCCAGGGCACCACACCCACCTGTGCTAACTCTAATTTATCAACAGATTTTCATGTCACCAGAACGCACGTGCTACCTAAACGTGAGGATGCGGCTTCATAATCTGTAAAATCTCGCCCAAAAATGTGGAGAAACACTTCCTGTTATTTGCGCTGTAATTAATAATAATAATAATTCAGTATAGCACGTGTAGACTCCCTTAATGATTCATTATTCATTAAGAGTACACACGCACATATTGATGAGTCATTTAATACGACTCAGAGATGGCATTATTGAAAAAGTAATTATAAAATATTTCAAAAGCCTATTCTAACATGTTTTTATTTTTATAATAACCATGATCTCCTTTATTTTATGTCCTGGCTGCTTCATCCTCTCTGGTGAAATTCCTGTGAAACATAATTGCATTCCTGATTTTGTAATATATATAACTGAAAGGCAAGATT